GATCTCGCGGTCTGTGAGTTCGAGCCCCGCGTCGGGCTCTGGGCTGATGGCTCAGAGCCTGGAGCCTGTTTCCGATTCTGTGTCTCCCTCTCTCTGCCCCTCCCCCGTTCATGCTCTGTCTCTCTCTGTCCCAAAAATAAATAAACGTTGAAAAAAAATTTTTTTAAATAAAAAATAAAAAAAAATAAAAAATAAAAAATAAAAAATAAAAAAAAGAAAAAGACAAGGATGTTCACTCTTAACATTCTTATTTGACATAATTCTGGAAGTCCTAGCCAGTGCAATAAAGCAATAAAAGGAAATAAAAGACATGTACAGACTGGCAAGGAGAAATAAAACTATTCTTTTTTGGTAGATGACATTATCATCTACATAGGAAAGCCCAAGGAATCTACCAAAAGACCCCAAACAAACAAACAAAACTCCTTTTGTACCTAATAAGTGAATTTAGCAAAGTCCCAGGATTCAAGAGAAACATACAAAAATTAGCTGTATTTCTGTATGTTAGCAATGAACACAGTAACACCAAAATTAGAAATACAATACCATTTACAACTGCTCAAAAAAAAAAAAAATGAATACTTAGGTGTAAATCTAACAAAACCTGTACAGGACCCTTATGCTGAAAACTACAGTATTGATGAAAGAAACCAAAGAAGATCTAAATAAATGGAGAGACATATAGTAGTCCCCCTTTATCCTCAGGGGATATGTTCCAAGACCCCTCCCCTCAGTGGACACCAGGAACCATATATAGGTACTGAACCCTATATACACACTATGTTTTTCTGTACATACATACCTACCTATTATAAAGTTTAATTTATAAATTAGGCACAGTAAGAATTTAACAACAATAACTAATAATAAAGGAGAACGATTATAATACATACTATGATAGAAGTTATGTGAAAGTGGTCTCTCTCTGTTTCTCAAAATAGCTCATATCCTTGGGCGCCTGGGTGGCTCAGTCGGTTACGTGCCCCACTTCGGCTCAGGTCATGATCTCAAGTTTGTGAGTTTGAGCCCCCCATCGGGCTCTGCGCTGACAGCTCGGAGCCTGGAGCCTGCTTCAGATTCTGTATCTCCCCATCTCTCTTCCTCTCCCCAACTTGTTCTCTCTCTCTCTCTCTCTCTCTCTCTCTCTCTCTCTCTCTCTCAAAAATAAAATAAAAGAAACAAAAAGAAATATCTTCTACCCTTCTTGTGACGATGTGAGATAATACAATGCATGATGAGAAGAAGCAAGGTGAATGACACAGGGGCTGCGATGTGGCATGAAACTACTATTGACCTTCTGAGATACGTCAGGAAGAGGAACACCTGCTTCCGGACCGCGGATGACTCTGGGTAACCGAAACGGTGGAAAATGAGATCTCAGAGAAGTGGGGGGAACCACTGTCCCCTAGTAATGGGTTGGCAGACTCAACATAGCAAAGGTGTCAGTTCATCCTAAATTGATATACAGGTTTAACGCAACTCCTATCAAAGTCAGAGCAATGCGGGGCGCCTGGGTGGCGCAGTCGGTTGAGCGTCCGACTTCAGCCAGGTCACGATCTCGCGGTCCGTGAGTTCGAGCCCCACGTGGGGCTCTGGGCTGATGGCTCAGAGCCTGGAGCCTGTTTCCGATTCTGTGTCTCCCTCTCTCTCTGCCCCTCCCCCGTTCATGTCTGTCTCTCTCTGTCCCAAAAATAAATAAATGTTGAAAAAAAAAAAAAAGTCAGAGCAATGCTTTTTTGTACATGTAGATAAGATTATTCTAAAATTTACACGGGGAGGCAAAGGAATTAGAATAGCTAAAATAATTTGTAAAGAAAAATAACGTGGGGGTAATCAGTCTAACCAATTTTAAGTATCAAATTTACCATAGGGCTACAGAAATCAAGACTGAGATATTGGCAGAGGGACAGACACACAGGTCAATGGCACAGAATAAAGAACCCCAAAATAGATCCACATAAATAGGCCAAACCGGCTTCTGATAAAGGTGAACATACAATTCAATGGAGGAAAGGCAGCCTTTTAACAAATGGTGCTAGAGCACCTGGACATCCATAAGCAAAAAGTTAATCCTCATCTAAGTTGCACATCTTATGTAGAAATTACCTCAAGGTGAATGACGGACTTAACTGTAAAACCTAAAACTATAAAACTTTTAGGAAAAAAGCACGATAGAAAAATCTCTGGGATCTGGTCTCGGTAAAGAGTTCTTCGATTTGACAGCAAAAGCAGGATACAAAACAGGAAACATTGATAAACTGGACTTTGCCACAATTACAAACTTCTACCCGTCAGAAGGCCCTGTAAAGAGAATGGAAAGACAAACTACAGACTGGAAGAAAATATTTGCCATCCATCCAACAAAAGGCCTGGTAGCTAGAACACACGAGGAATATTCAACACTCAAGTTAAAAAGCAAACAATCCAATCAGAACACAGGCAAAAGACATGAACAGATATTTCACTGAAGAAGATACACAGATGGCAAACGCAAATCAAAACAGCAATGAGATACCACTGCTCGTCTCTCAGAATGGCTAAAATTAAAAATGGCAACACCACCAAATGCTGGTGAGGATGTGGAGAAACTGGAGCATTCAGTCATCGCTGGTAAGAATGTAAACCGGTGTAGCTCTTCTGGAAAACGGTCTGGCAGTTTCTTAGAAACCTGCAAACGCAACTATCATCTGACCCAGGAGTTGTGCCTGTGGGCATTTATCCCAGAGAAACGAAGACTTAAATTCACCAAAAAAAATCAAGACATGAATGTTTATAGCACCCTTATTTGTAACAGTCAAAAAGCTGGAAACAGCCCAGATGTCCCTCAACAGATAAATGGTTAAACTGTGGCACATCCATACCAGGGAATACTACTCAGTAATAAAAAGGTATAAGCCAATAAATGCAGCAACCTGAATGAATCTCCAGGGAATTATGCTGCGTGCAAAGCCAATTAAACAAAAAAAGTTGCATATTGTATGATTCCATATATATGGCGTTTGTGAAATGACAAAACTATAGAAATGGAGAACAGATCTGTGGTTATCAGGGGTTAAGGACGGACTGAGGGTAGAAAGTGGGTGGCGATGCCTTTAAAAGGGCAACAAGAGGGACCCTAGTGGTGAAGGAAATGTTCTGTATCTAGACTTGTATGTATCAATGTCAGTATCAGGGTTGCAATACTGCAGGATAGTTTCCGTAAGATGTTACTATGGGAAACTGGGTTAAGGGTACATGGAATCTCTCTGTATTATTTCTTAAAATTCCATCTGAATCCATAATCGCTTCAAAATAAAAGGTTTAATTAGCAAAAACACTACTTTAAAAACCCGACGATATAAAAGGATACAGGCAATTACTATGTATTATAAAAAGCAGACTTGAGTCTCTCAGTTTCAAAAAAAATTGAAATTACTATCAGGTACTACTATTAGGTCAAATTTTGGTTATGACTTGGGGAGTTGAAGGGAAAGAAATGGGTTTTCATTTCTGTCAATTTCCAGGAGAAAAAAACCCAAAGATACAGACCAATCTGTGTATCTGAGGTAAACCTCAGGTCTTAACACCTTTAATTTTAAGAAGGGTCCAAAAGAAATGCATTCCTTTATAGCTGTCTTTGAAATATTGTTTGGACTCCTCAGAAAAAATATGGCGTCCTTCACAGAATAGCTTATTCCAGAAGGGTGGGTCACAGCTGCAGTTAAAGGGAGACAGGAAGACACGGAGGAGTTGAAGGAGTTGAAGTAGAAGGAATGAGGCTGGGGGGGGGGGGGGGGTGGGACAGCTGGCCTAAGGGACAGTGGCCAGGACTTCACACCAGATCCCCTGGTGTGCCATCGACTTCCTCACCCTGCATTCCAATCCTAGTTCTGTCTCCTTTACTGAACATCAAGCAAATCACATCATCTCCGTGCCTCAATTTCAAGCAAATCACATCATCTCCGTGCCTCAATTTCCTCCTCCTCAAAAATGGAGCTAAAAGTTTCTACCTCCTGTCAAACAGGATATTTGCAAGGATAAGTATCTGTACAGCCTGGAAATGTTTGAAAGAAAGGTCCCAAGAAGTAGTATCTGCAAATGTGGTTCATTTAGAACATTCAACTGAAAGTCTATTTTATATGGGAAAACCTGCATAATGGAAGACAGTAATTTTGAAGGAGACTGGTGAAAGGGAAAGACAAAATGAATGAACTTTAAACCAAGTCGGTAGCTCATCTATATTTCTTCAGTTGTCCTCAGGTTACTGACGGCAAATTCAGCACTGCCCAAGCCATGTGGGGCCCCAATCCACCAGCAAAACCATCTTACTAGAACGGATTGTCCATAGTAGACGTTAAAGGATTGGAAAACAAAACAATTAAGAAACCAAAATCTCACAAGACTGCAAATCCACTAGGGACCTAAGCAGTGGTCTACATCGTGCCACTGAAAAACGTTAAGAGCATGGAAATAAGCAGCGATGCGACTCTTCATTTCATTTTACCTGAAGCACTAATTGAATTTTGCCCAGTAGTTTAGTGACTCACTCAGGTCTGTCTGCCTGCACTTGTATCTAAGCTCTCTGATTGCAAAAGTCACAAGTCGCACTCATCTATGTCCCACGGTCCATAACTTTGCGTGTAGTTGGCGCTCAGCGACTACTGAATTGAACACATGCTCACAAATATTATCGACCACTCCTAGCTTGAAGGCATATACTTAAGTTGTTCCAAAGCAGAGGCCGACCACCTGGTATTTAGCTTCAGCCTTGTTAACTTATCGAGCAATGTTTTTTATCAGTTTCTCAATTTATCACAAGCTAAGGTCTGTAAGTGGAAATTTTTACTGATGATCTGGGGGGGGAACAAAAAGGTTTTAAAGAAAAATTCTGAGCCCAGAAGGACATGGGGCAAGACAATGAGAAACTCTGCGCTTTGACTGATATCGGGCGTAACAGCCTGCTTCTTATCAATAATTATCGGATTTTTAAAAAAAGTTTTAATTTTCTAGTATTTACTCACCAGTATCCAGTCTTGACTTGATATGCTGATACCTTGGGTTTTGTGGTATTCTTTTGGTTAGATACTAAAAAATAAGAAAATTCACAAAATAATCAGGTTAATGTAAAAATAAGGGTGACAAAGGTGGGAAAGAGTCAGATACTTAAAAAACAGAACAGGTGATAAAATTTCACCAAATTTAATGATTTTTTAAACATTTATTTATTTATTTTGAGAGAGAGAGAGAAACAGGAGGGGCAGAGAGAGAGAGAGAGAGAGAGAGAGAGAGAGAGAGAATCCCAAGTAGAGTCCGCACCGTCAGCCCAGAGCCCAATGTGGGGCTCGAACTCATGAATTGTGAGATTGTGACCTAAGCCGAACCAAGAGTCGGATGCTTAACCGACTGAGCCACCCAGGAACCCCAAATTTTATCAAATTTAAAGAAGGAAAGAGCCCTAGAGGTTCAACTGTCCATTCAATCTAGGACTCTTCGCCACAGCATTTCCATAGGTGAGAATGGTTATCTTGTTTCCGTCAAAATATTTTCATTTTTTGTCAAAATAATCTCATGGCCCTATATAATTAGGAAGAAAAAAAAAAAACCTCATAAAAATTATTTCAGACATCGAGCCCAAACTAGTCTCCCTTTAGTTCCATCCAGTCCACTGTCACAACCCTGAACGAGACACCCTCCACCCCTGCCTCAAGAAATCTGTTCAAATAACTAAAGGCAGCTCCCTGGTCCTTCTTTTTTAGTTTTACTCTTGGTATGATGAGGCCATCTCCTCTGGACACCCTTTAGATTTTCTCCACATCTCCCCTAAAAAGTAGCTTTTGGACCCAGACCTGAGCACGGCGCCCAGAGGCTACTAGGCCGGGACCCTGCTTGGCAGTCCTCCCCTGCTGCTTGCCTGGAGTCTGAGGCTCCACAGATGGCATTGCGATGGCATCTGCTCTCGGGGCCACTAAGGCTCATCATGGGCCCAGGGTAAGTTTGTGGTCATCAGAGAATGCCTACGTCAGGTCTCCCTTGTCCTGTACTCTGGGAGGGACCTCTAAATCCAAGCACAAGACCTTTACCCATATTAAGTTTCACTGGCATTTGCGAAAGCCATCCAAGTGAGGGAAGGCTAGTGAATCGACATTTCAAGACCTAGATTTCTTGGGATGCCTGGGTGGCTCAGTAGGTAAAGCATCTGACTCTTGGTTTCGCTCAGGTCATGATCTCACAGATTGTGGGTTCGGGCCCCACATCAGGCTCTGTGCTGACAGCATGGAGCCTGCTTGGGATTCTCTCCCTCTCCCTCTCTCTGCACCTCCCCTGCTCGCTTGCTCGCTCTCTCTCAAAATAAATAAATAAACATAAAAAAAAAAAAAGATCTAGCTTTCTCGCTCAGGCTTTTTTCTGGTCTACAAGTATGAAAATCGTATGTTCAGTCACAGGTAGCTGTGGAATACGAAATTAAAACTGGTTAATACTTTTCTGGTTTCGTCTTCTGCCACTCTCACACATGACCCCATGTTAGCGTTGCCCGAGCGCTCCCTTAATTTGCTGCACTCCCTCAGATCCTCAGGCTTAGCAAATGTCTGCCTAGAATGCCTTTCCTCGACTTGTCCTCGGACAAAACCTTACTTCCTCTGTAAGGTGTCCAAGGTGGAATTGGGCATTTCCTCTCCCAGGCTCCCAGAGTACCCTGTACCATTGTTCACACCCCACCCTTCTCTATATGCCCTTGGAGGCAGGGACAAAGACGTACTCATTATCTGTGCACACCCAGGACCTAGTACGTGGTAGGCACATTTATTGAGATGCAGTCAACAAATGAATATCTAGAATGCAAAGTATATTACAGTAACTACCTGGTTCCTTGGAAGGGAACACCAAACTTTATTATTATTTCTTGAGATTATTTTTATGTATTTATTTTTTTTAAGTAGTCTCTACACCCAGTGTGGGGCTTGAACTCATGATCCCAAGATTAAGAGTTGTGTGCTTTACCGACCAAAGGAAAAAAACATCCGGTGGAGAACTAAAATGTAAAACCCCTATCATATGCTCTTGAAAACACAGTTAACTACAGCATGTCCTGTTGGCCAGAGTTTTGAATTTCAGAGACTAGGAAGAATTTCTAAGAACTGGGGGCACCCATAGAGAATTATCAACTTCTAATTTTGCCAAGAATGGTCTTTTATTGTTATTAAAAAAAACTCATGACGTTGTCTCTGGTTTTCATTTCACTCTAGAGAAGTAAAACCTTTGTCCTGAATGCTTAGCATTGGGCCTCAGATGTGTGTGTGGAACCCCTAAGCTTTTTCATCCTTAGAGAAAGCCTGGAGAGCCCCCGTTTCCATCTGACCAGTAATCTACTGTCTTTAAGACAAACTGACTCTAACACCAATTCCAACTCCGGAATTCCTAGATGAAGACGGAGAAGATTCTTAAGCGAGAGAAGGGAAATATTTAAAGACTAAAAGGGGGAACTTTAGGGCAAGATATCCCAGAAGAAGACAATATCATAGCAAAACAAAACGAAACATCAAAAAAAAAAAAAAAAAAAAAAAACAACCCAGAAAACCAGGGAAAACATGTGTCTGGTAAATTGAGTCAAGAAAAGCTAATAGTAGAATTCAGTTATCTTAGGCTAAGGGATTTTTTTTTTTCATTTTTTTCTGTACTCTGTATTTTTATAATTTCTATATGCTATTTCCTGTTTTTACTTTTGTTTTGTTTTGTTTTCTGCTAGTTTCCTAGCAAAGTGTCTTTTGAAAGACTCCAGGCTAGTCTCTGCTGAACCAAGGGGATTTGTCCATACCTAAGCCAACATAGCTAAGAAGTGAGGGTGTCTCTGGGGACCAGGTGTGGTGGCAGCAGAATGATGGGGGGGGGGGGGGGAGTGTGGACAGCTGCAGTCGCTGGGCCCCTCCCGCCCCCGGTTTTCCCTTACATAGACTAATGAGAAATCCATATGCTGCAGTAGAAAAATGTAGTGTCTCTTTTCCATTTTCCCAATTTGGTCCAACTTCTCGTTCCTGGCTTTCGAGTGCCAACCACAACGTAAAACTCTAAGGAGACCATCACAGATTTTATGGAACTTTCATACTTTTTTCCTTAAAATTCTTGTTTTGGGGGTGACTGTTTCTTGACCTACTGACCAACTGGCTTTTTCTTTTTTTTTTTTTTCAGTTACATACACAGGATGGAATGGTGGAAAGTGAAAGAGCTGAGAAAAGTTCTTTCAAGAAGGACTATTCATTCATTCATTCATTCATTCATTCATTCAACAAAGCCTTACTGAGCACCAACCCTTCAGCAGACATTTACTGGGTGTCTACTAGGAGCGAGCCGCCATGCTAAGCACACAGAGCCCTCCAGCTCTCAGTGGTGCTGGGAAGAAAGACAAGTGACTAAAAGAGTCAAGAACTGTGTCCTGAGCCATGACTTCCAGGCTGAAATCTGAGGGCTAAGAAAATGAGTCAAGCTAAAGGAGTGGTAGGCGGAAGGTAGGGTTTCTGGCAACTGGTAGACCTGGAGCATAGGGGGCAACATGGGGTCAGATGAGATTGAAGAAGCAGATGGGGGGGGGGGGTGTTCATAAAGGGCCTTGTATCCACCCATGCTAAGGAACCTGGATTTTTTTTTTCCTGTAGATGACCATCCTTAAATGGGCAATTTTGCTGCCCCCTTGCTCCTGGGGACAACAGTCAATGTCTGAACACCTTTTAGGTGGGTGGTGGCTGTGGTGGGGCTGCTACTGGTATCCAGTGAGTAGAAGCCAGAGATGCTGCGAAACACCCTACAACGACAGTCCCCCACAGCAAAGACTTAGCTGGCCCAAAATGTCAATAGTGCTAAAGTTGGGAAACCTTAGTGTAGACGATTGGGGAGTTACTGGAGAAAGTAAGAAGAAGTGATGGGATTATATTTCCATTTAAGAAAGCTCATTCTGGCAGCATTCTGGAGAGCTAATAGGATCATAGTCAAGGATGGAGGCACAAAGATCAATTAAGAGGTAGGTGTGCTAAGAAGATCTATGATGCTAAGAAAGTGGCAGAAGAGATGAGGAAGAGGAGACAGCTTCAAGATGTAAAATCAGTAAGATTGAAAACTGACTGGTATAACAGGGTGAGGACAGTGTTAACCATCCTCCAAAAAAGGGAATTAAGGAGGAAGCATACATTGAAAAACAGGAGGTTTTTCATGTTGAGGCATGTTCAGTGTGACGTATCTGTGGGTTATCCAAGACGGAAATGGTGAGCTGGCTATTTGGGTCTGGAGATCAGGAGGTCTGGGGTTGCAGAAGGAAGGTTTGGTGATTGTCAGCATAAAGGCAGCAGGGGAAGCCATAGGAATGGACAAAATCACCATCAGGGACCGTTTAAGATGAAATTGCCCAGCACTTAAGGTCTGGTAGAGAAAAGCACCATGTTTGAGACTCACGGGAGGCCAGAAGAAAGTGGGTCATCAAAATTAAAGAAGAGTTTCAGGAAGAAGGGAGTGGTCAACAGTGATCAATGCTGTCAAGTCCGAGAACAAGAGGTCAAACATGAACAAGTGAGCAAGAATGAAGGCCAAGTAAGAGAATAACAAAGTAAATTTGGATTGAACAAACCAGAATGTTGTTGACGGCCCTGGTGGAAGAGGTTACAGTAAATTGACAGAAGCAGAAGCAAAAGAGCAGGTTGTATGAGATGGGGAGGGAGGAAAACACAGGATAGCAGCCAGATGGCCTTTTTTTGCCCCCTTGAGAGTTGCTAAGGAATAAGTTTTTCTTGTTGATTTGTTTTGTTTTGGAAGAAAGGACAGATTTGAGGATGTTTAGAGGCTAGATAATAGAAGTTGGAAATGGAGCAAGAAGGTATGGAAATGAGGGAGTGGGAGAGGATGAGGCCCGGAGCCCAGGCAGAAGGCTCAGCTCTGGATACTGGCTATGTATTCAAGATAAAGATACCAGATAGGCGATCACAACGAAGTTCCTCGGGAGGAGGGAGGAAGCTAAGAAAGTTCATGGTTGTGATATGATCAGGGGCTCTTGGAGAGCAATCAAAAATGTGAAAGACCCTTTGAGGGCTTACATCTCTAGAAAG